ATGCTGTAACTATGCTGTAATTATACTTTAATTATACTGTAATTATACTGTAATTATACTGTAACTATGCTGTAACTATGCTGTAACGATACTGTAACTATACTGTAATTATACTGTAACTATGCTGTAACTATGCTGTAATTATACTTTAATTATACTGTAATTATACTTTAATTATACTGTAACTATGCTGTAACGATACTGTAACTATGCTGTAAATATACTGTAATTATATGTTTTATACTGTAACTTTACTGTAATTATGCTGTAATTATATCTTGCCATTGACAACAAACAAAGCCAACAAGTCTGTTGCTGATTTTACAATAAAATACCAGAAAAAATATTTTTTAAATGGATAAAAGCAGGTCAGAATCCTTAAAGTAAAAGGGCTRCACAAGTCATCACAATAACAAACCTTGGATTTGGACTCCACACACTTGGCATTTTGCCAGTCTCTTGTCATGGCGTTGAATAAAGTGTCTTTAAGCGAAGCTTATAATGAACACTGCAACCCACCTGCCATGCTGAAGCTCTGTTTGTCATGTAGGGTACATGTAATTAACACTGGCCCCTCCTGTTCTCAGGTGAGGGGGAGCGGAGCATGGACGTGTATTGAGGGAGTGAGAATCGTGAGCCGGGCAGTGAAAAGACTTGCATTGTTCACGAGTCTCAAAYCACAAGTCCAAGTCAAGTCTCAAGTCTTTAGGGTCCAAGTCAGAGTCAATTAAGTCTCTAACAGTAGGGACTCTGACAAACACACAGGGTCCAGACTCAGATTACTCAGGTGCAGGAGGGCCACGTCCCGGTCCACAAAGTAGTCGCTGACGGAGTCGTCCTCTGCGCTGCGCTCTCTGTAGGCAGCCAGCCTCCGGGTGAAGCGCTCCGGCTCGTAGTGCAGCTCCTGCACCAGGCGCTCCGGCAGGTTCATCGCTCGCTCCTTCAGGAACCAGTCGGCCGCGTCCAGACACAGAACCAGCTCTGAGAGCACACACAGCTGTTACTGGAGCTGCAGGAGCACTCGGAGACTGAATGAGAGCAAAGAAAGACCTGGCATGAAGACCCTCCTGCTGTCTGAAGGTGATTCTTCCTCTGCAAACACAGAAGTTCACGTGAGAACTCGTGTCGTAGACACACACACACACACCTGTGCAGCTGGAAGCAGCGTGTCGGCTCTCACCGCTGAACAACTCTTTGGCCTGTTCATGCGTGCAGGGGAAACCATCGAGAACAAAGCCCTGGTTTCTGCAGGGGTTAGACATCAACTTATCCTTCAACACTTTCATCTGCTCCTCGGAAACATCTGGGAGACAAACAGGAGGCGGATCCTTTAGATCTTAGAAACTTCACAGACTGCAGCTTTGTTCATCAGTGATCAGAAGATACAGCATATATGACCCCCCCCCCCCACCAATCACAGGGTTTATGTACGTTTCATGTTTTTTTTTTCAACCATAGCACAGAAATGGCTGCATCAATCAACATGAAATTTGGCAGGAATGTAGATGTTTTTTTATGTTTAGCTCTGATGAATCCATCAGGCCCACCAATGAGCATCCAGCATCGGTGCTCTGTGTAAGTGCAGGGGTCATATTTGTACTGCTCTGTAGGGTTGGGCATAATCCTATTGTGTGCAATTAATCATCAGAAAAACAATCAGTTATTTTTTGGCACTTGAYRATTAWTACGATTAATACCACCAGGCACTCGCTGCTCCTCTCTTCTTCTATTTAGAATAAGGGATTTGTTTAATGATRAARCTCTGTATGTYATATAACACATTAATTGTTCCACACCTGGTTTATTGTGTTGAGGTATGAGGTAAAGCATGTAAGACTGTTACACATCCTGTTTTTGTTTCGCAGAAAAGAGCTATAAGAGTTATCGCTCGAAAACATTACCGTTATCCATCTAATATATTATTCTGTAAACTGAAATTATTGAAATTTTTTGATTTGGTTGATAACAATATTTTATTAGTTATGTATAAGGCTCACCAAAACACATCACATTTAAACATCCAGATAAACTTTGTAAAGAGAGAGCTGTTATAATCCTAAGAGAACAGAGATGTTCATGAAACCTAAATTTAGAACCTGTTTGAAAGAACGCTGCAGCTCAATCCAAGGAGTCAGATTGTGGAATAATCTGGAAGATGATGCTTAAAAATGCCAAATCACTGTAA